ATATTAAATTATATTGTAGAAAATGAGTAACTAGTGTTGTGTTATAAATAGAACACCATGTAATATTCTAACTCGATGCGTACCGAAGAAGAAATGTGTAATCATTATAGTTTCTTTATTCTTGTCTTTCTAAAAGAAAATAATCAGCTTATTTCTTTTTTGACATAATCAGTTTAAAATTTTAAAATAACGTGGTTCAGATGCTTTGATCAGATCTTTTCAAAGAGACTCGGGTCGGGTAACCTACTTCCACTAGGGAGATTTTTCAAACTAGCCGGTTCAATTGGTTTTTTTTTGGTTTTTATCGAAAAGTCTATTTTACCCTTAATGAGATATATTTCTTTATTGCAAGACATATCATTCTTTTATGAATAGTTTTAGAGAATAGTATATTATATTTCTTGTATTCCTGATTCTAACAAAAAAATTCATCATTTGTGGATTCTTACAGATAAATTCATCCTTTGATCTAACAAATTATCATAATCTATAATTTTTTGTATATATTCTGTCATAAGCCTTTTATATTCTTCAAATGATATATCTCTATTTTCTTGTTTGATTTTAATATCTTTTATTTTCCCTAACACTTTTTCTAACAAATTATCTAATCCTTTCACTGTGTATCCTGGTATAATATGAACATAATAAAACAATAATAGTTCAAACTTCATGAATAATCTTGAAATATAAACATTAAAATGATTAATCCCTGCGATTCTTTAAGATCTTAGAAGAATTCTTTCCAAATTTAACAAAAATAATAGTTTTACCTTGATTTTGATCTTAAGCATTTATCCTTAGAATCGAGTGACCTTCAGACTCTGAATATGCAAACTGTTCCCTCCAACGGCCTTTTGCCTCAACGAGATCTTTGCTATTTCAGCTTCTTGCCCTTACTGTATCGTTTCTTAGAATTAAAACTATAGATTCTAAATAAAGAAAACTCTCTTTTTGCTAAAGTAAGAAAGAAATTTCTTCTTTAATATTTCAAGAATCTATGAGAAAAGTAGNAGTTTTACCTTAGTTTTGATCTTAAGTTTTTATCCTTAGAATCGAGTGACCTTGAGGCTCTGAATATGCAAATTGTTCTCTCTAATGGCCTCTTGCCTCAATGAGATCTTTGTTATTTCAGTTTATTGCCCTCACTGTATCGTTTCTTAGAATTAAAACTACAGACCCTAAATAAAGAAAACTCTATTTTTGTTAAAAAAAAGAAATAAATTTCTTTTTTAATCTTTCAAGAATCTGTGGGAAAAGTAGTTTAGAAATTCATATCCATTCAAGATGATTGAATGATATTATCAAAATCGGTAATATTGATATCTTTGAAATTTGGTACAAGATTCTAATAGAAGATTTAATTTTCTCACAAGTTGAGTGCTCAAATTTTTCTCTCCAATTCGTTCTGTCTTTCTCTTATCCCGAGGGCCTCTATTTATACATCTAATTGAGGCAAAATTATTGGC